TTGGTGTGTGTCTTTTTTTTTTTAGAAGAAAGAAACTGTGTTTATCGGAGATCAAAGGTTTTAAACACTCCTGGAGTTAGGACTGCATAGGACAAGGAACCCAAAATCTAAGGTGTCGAGGTCAGTTAGATGCAAACTTCTACAGCAGAGGCAGGATGAGTAGTTAAGACACTTCTGGTGGTGGGGTGGTATCCCATAATCCCAGGTCTGTCTTGTGGGAAAGTTGAAGGAGATCAGAAAGTGGCCTAGAAATAATAGAAAGGCACTTTCTGTTATTCTGGTAAGCATGATTTTGGGAACACAAATAACTAAATAAGCTCCTCCCCTCTAAGTCAATGGAGGGACAAGGATAGAAATAGAGGGATTCAATTACTGTTGGGATCTGCTCAGAAGAGGAAAATGCATGACTGGTATATCTTCCTATTGCGAATCACTCTCTCATTGTACCTTCACACATCCCTACTTTCTCTCTCTTCCTTTGTATGCAATCCTGCAAGAACTTGCCATCAACTGTGCTATTCCAACAAAATTTACTGCATATCCCAGAAACCCTCATGTGAAACCTGGCAGGCTGTTGGGTTCCTGCATGCACAGGAGAATCTGCTGGGTGTCCCTTTGACTCATGTCAGGTGGAGACTCTGAGTACAATTGTTCATTTACACTTCTTTTCTCTAAAAATTGCAGTTGCCATGCATGAGCTATAAAACCATTAGCAATTAAGCTTATCTTAGGCATTACCAGAGCTGTGGGTATCAACAGCTTCAACAGGAATATACCAGTAAAATGGCAGCCCTGACTAAAGCAGTGGGATGGGAGGAGTTGTGCGTGTGAGATGTAGAAGCAAGTTGAAGAGCTGACCTTTAAGTAAGAAATAGTGTACAATCATAGCTGTGAGACAGCTGGTACTCACTGGCTGTATCACAGCTCTGACACTCAGTAGTTCTCTTCTCTAAAGACCTAATTGTTATGTTCAGGAAATATGAGAATGGAGAATATTTGTTGTGGTCCAGTTCTACTGCCAAATATACAAACTGCTTCAGAGACCGTCTGTGATAACTCATCTGTGCTTTGAGCCTGGACTACCAGCAGGGGAGGTGAAGAGGCTGAAGAAGGAGTAGGTTGCAAGATAGCAATTTTGCAACTGTCCCCACATGGGAAAGAACTCAAACTGAAAACAACTTGTGTGCAGAAACCTTCCCATGTGGTAAGAAAAATTCAGCCTTTTATGGGTTTGATGTGTGTGTTTGGGGAACTTTGTGGGTTTATCAGAGAAACCCAAGCAGGTTTATTGCCTCTGCTAAGAGGTTATTATATGGATCTCTTGTCTATAAAAAAAAAACGCTTTCATGCAAAAAAAAAAAAAAAAGGACCAATGACAAAACTAGTCAGAAAGCAAATATTTAATTTTACCAGCCACTGCTTTATTTGATCAAGTTGGCTAACCTTTTACAGTTAGAGCTAAATTAATTCCCAAGCTTGAAAGACAAAGAAAATTCTTGAGAATGACTTGCCAATTTGGTCCATTGAAGAACTTTATCTACATGGGAACTAACTAAAAAAAAATGCAGTGTCTGTATTTAAGGCAAACATAACATCTCTACATTTCAGTGTGGTTTAATAAAACCACACGGTAAATAGGGCATTGTAAGCTTACCAGTATAGACAAGTATCACAAATTAAAAATCTAGCTCTAAAAATTGGATTGCAGGCTTTTGCTGACCCACTTCATACCAAAACCAAACAGACCAGATGAGTAAAAGATAAAATAACTACCTCTTCTTCTAATCACATTTAAGCATCTCTTTTCCTATGACAGGTCTCTTCATGTCTAACAGGGAAACATGCCCTTTCAAAAGCATGTGTGTAATGTAGTGTATGAGGCAGTGTTTCTTAGTCTCGTGACTGAGAAACTGGAATTCCTTCTCCCTCCCCCATAAACTCTTTCTCTTTTGTTAGTTGTTGCATTACAGAATCGTCATCCTTACAAGCTCCTAACTTGTCTTCATGTTGCTCACAACAGCTTCTCTCTTTCATATCTACTCACAGACCAACAATTTCCTCATACCACCCACCTTTTTCGCTTCAGCTTTCTCATTTTAGCTCTTTGTTTCTAAGAGTTTTGCTCTGTTGATCTCACTGATTGTAGGGTAAAACACTTGTCCTTATATTGCACTTGTCTGAATAAACCACATGTTATTTGGGGCAAGACTTCGCTTTGCTCTTCTGCCATCTGCCTTAAGGAGCTAATATCTGAAGGTATAATTGATCAATGGCAGGCTGGGCCACTGAAGATGAAATGCAAAAAAAATGAATTGAGACCACATGAAATTTGCCATCTTGGAAAGTTTTTTCTGTCCTTCATATTCACATGTCACTGTACCCCATCTTTTTCTTTTATTTTAAAACAGTATGTTCATTAGCTTCTGTGAACGCAGCCCTGGAGACTGTTTAACATTCAGGTAATCCATGTCCCAGCTGTGATGACACACTGATGGTACTTATATGAAGACATGCTTTCAATCAGGATAATAATGAGAAGTGTGTCATTCTGGCATGTATTGATGACCTATACTTAAGTGTGTCAAAGAGCCAGCAAACGAAGCATACCACAATGCACGCTGCAGTTTCTTGCACAGAAATATAAAGCAGAAAGCACTGTTTTTCCCTGACTACAAGAAATTCCAGTCAAATTGCTTGGGGTCTTATTTCAGAGGATGTAGTCCATATCATACTTTGTTGTTCAGTTGTTTTTCTGATAATTAGGACTTTGTAATGCAAGATGATTTTGCTTACCTGAATGCCTTCCCAGGTTTTCTGTCAGCTACTGAGCGTACCTGCTGGTTTTGCCAAGGAGGATGGCATTGACTTACAGCTATTCTAAAAAACGTTTGATAATTTACCCCACTGATTTTTATTTAAAACAAACAAAACAAAACAAACCATAAAGGAATTTCTGTTTAATGATGTAGTTTAATGGTTTGCCTTTCATGGTCCAAACCCACTGTGACTAATTTCATAGACTTCTGACTTATTTTATAGACTTGTTTTGGTATGAATTGCATTTCAAATGAAAAAAAAATATTCTTAACAGTAATTTTTTCTTTTAGACACATTATTCAATTATTATCATAATTCCCGTCTCTGTCATTTTGCTACAGAAATCCTGCTTTACAAGAATTCTGAAGAGTCAACAAGAACTAAAATTTAGAGAAATGGACAGGCAAATGTTATGCTTCAAGTAACATATGCAAACAAGCCTGTAAAGGAACCTTGTGAAAGTTTCTAGAGAGAGGTAGTAATTATATATTGTATTTGTATCAATGCTTTCCTACAATATCTTCTTCAGGCTCAAAGAGAGCTTTATGTAGTCTGTCCACTGATGACATTTTGAAAGTAATAAAGTTAAAGTTAAATTTTCATAAGCATAGATACATAAATACATAAATACTCTTATCTGTAAACAACTTTCTAAGGGAAGAAAGGAACAGTGCTGTGTGACCTACTGTGGTAGATGCTGTACTGGTGATACCATACATCAACCATAAGACGGAAAGACAGACAACTTTCTGGATTTCTTTTTTCTCTTAAAGCAATTTCAACAAAGTAGATTGATTTGTGTTCTCAAAAATAAGTTCTATTGCCAAGTTGCTTTCCTTGAGAAACTTCACAGTTCAGCAGAACTGAGATACACCTTTCAGTAACATGGACTTTTTTTGCTTAAAATGAACAGCATTTTTCCTCAAGCAACACTAAATTTCACCCATGGGTCTGATAAGATTCTGTAGAGACTCCAACAGGTCTTAAAGAGCTCAGCCTTTTTAACTTAGAAATACACTTTATGGACTGCTTTATTGAGCATAAACATTCTATTAATGTGAGCAAATAGAAAGAAAAAAAGCCATGTCTTTCAGAATATAGGCCATGGAGGCAAGTATTATTTTGCTATATCATTATGTGCATCATGTTTTCCTGTATGCATGAAGAAAGATTTACAAAATATTTTCATGTACATAGTATTTGGTATTCTAAGAAGCTACTTTTACCAGAGCTTATTTTTCTGCTAATTTTAAGCTTTGTTTATATATATCTATATATCTATATCTATATCTATATATATCACTGAGTATTTTGTTAGTGCCATAAAATACTAAAGAACAATAACAGAAGATCTACTGGAACCCCCTGTGAGGCCTGAGGCACTTTTTGCAGTGACGGGACAGCTCAGAATATTGAAAACTCCCTCTCATAAGCAGCAAGTATTTTGGTCACGGCAATATCATTACAACAAACAAAAGTCAAGCTGGCATGTCTTCCCTAAATCAATCTTTAGTTGTCATTTGCCCCTTAGTCTCATGTTTCAGTTGTGCTGAGATTCAAATAATCCTTCCCCCAGAGAAATCTTTCCCAGCTCCTTTTGTGTCCCTTCTTTTTATTGTATGATGCCAACCTCACATTAAGGGAGAGAGAGCTTGAAACCTGTTCCAGAATATAAGCTGTGTGTCTGACTTCTTGGATTTTGAACACTTACCTTGGCAGCCATGTGTCCCTGTGTAGCAGTGTCCCTGTTGTACCATTGGTAGTGTAACCCGTGTCTGCTTCTGAGAAAAAGTGTCAAAGTGTCTGCTTCTGCTTTATCAGATACAAGACAGGAAGCTGCTCTTGGAAAATGAGTCACACATTTCACACATTTCTTAGTTTTTTTTGGCCTCCTTTTTTTTTTCTTCCCCAATTCCTTGTTAATCTAAGCTTATCCATGGGGAAAAAAAATTACATAATTACAAATAAATATGCAAAAAGGATGGTACCAACCTTGCTACATCTACGAATACTTTTAGAGAGTTTAAAAAAGTTTAATTGAAAATATTGCCTAATTACATGAGCAGAGTATATTTTAAACCCGTTAGCTAGGAGACATTACATTCTGCAGAGAAACCAATCCACAGAAATAAAATACCATGTTTTATTTGTGTTTACTTGTATATGTTCAAAATATAGCATCCTTTTTTTGACTGAAGGACCTCACTTTCCTTTCCCTACAAATTTATCACAGAATCAAGTAAGAATGCACTTAAGAAGAGCTAAAAATACATCACAATGACTTCATGACTTTGTGGAAAAAGAATTAAGTATTTTCAGAATTTATGGGAAGTTTGAGTATTCTAGTTCTAGTTAGCAAAGGATAACAGAATTTTATACACTGTGACAGGTTGCATATTTACGTATTTTTATATAAACTGAATCTGAGGTTGGATACAGCTTTCACAGGAGCGATTCTTTTAGCAGGTAATTCTATTCAAAGAGGTGGAAAGTTGTTACATAAGCACAGTTCTCTTTGCCCTCTGTGACCAGAATAATTGACTGTGTGCATTTTTTCTTAAATTCTGTTTGGAATGATACAATTCTTTAAGAAACTGGGTACAATTTCACTTTAAATGTGGGGCAACACAAAAAACTGTCCTGTAATGATTCAGATGCTAAGGAGAAATGAAACAGATGAACAAATTTAAAACCCCTAAAATAGAGACATATAGACTTCCTTGAGAACAATACCAGACAGCTCTATAACATTTAATCACTGGATGGAGAGATTTGTTTCCTTCTTTCTCATCCACAATTTTTTTACTGATGCGCTTGTTACATGAAGCCTAAATTATTAAATCATTCCATACTTGTGGACATTCTCAAACTCTTATCATAGCCTCCTCCAGTTTGGTGAAAGGGAGGCCACTTGGTTAGATCAATTTCTAAAATAAATTTCAGTCACACCTTCATTTTCATTGAGAGAAAAGTCATTAGACAAAGTTTATCACTTTGCGCCTGCCTTTTGGTAACATGGTACCTACTAAGAATGGTGTCCAGTGTGCTGGTTCTGCTGTTTTGCTGAGGATTCCTACACTTTGATAAAGAAATATCTAGAAATAGAGAAATAGAGTGGAAACATTTCTACAGTTTTTTGCTGTGATAACTGATAGTGGAACTGAAAGGTCAAAGGAAGCAAGAGAGGATACAATGCCTTTTATATGTTCTGGAAGTAAAGCTATATGTAAAAATCAACTCTTGACTGTGTCCATATGCAACAATTTAATGTCTGATGTAAGCAGCACAGTTTTCCAGGGTTTTTTTGAAATCTGGACATACGTGGTATCTCAGATGTCTGGCTATCTTGGAACCACAGGTGTTGTTAGTGTTGGCTGAGATTAATGTAGTATCAATAAAAAACTAAAATAGAAAAGCATTAAAAGTGGAAAATTACCTTATCTAGAAAAGAAGCAATGAATAAGCCCTCAATAATTTTACTGGATATATTTGGGCTTACAAAGCCCAAAGATCATATGTCCTTGGGCCATGAGAAATATGTAAAGAAGGTTCATAGCAAGGTCAAGATTCTTAATGCAGAATAAAGTTCACAGAGTCACACCAAAACATCCTTTTAATTCCATCAAAACATATTCTGAGAATGTTTTTCTGTACCACCTGAAAAGGGGAGGCACTCATCACATCATAGGATGCAAATATGAGTTTTGAAAACTGACACTTTTAAGGTCCTATGAATGATTAAGAGACTGAATTTCATAGCTGAAGCTTTCTGTGTGGAATAAATTGATGCATTTATTTAAGAAACTATCAAAATTAACAAACTAATAATTTATGATGGTTTTGCAAACCTTCCAGGTGTGCAAAGCTGTACTGTCTGCTGGAATGAATGTTAAGTAGGACCATAAGCGCAATTCTACCTCTGCCACTGACTCACTGTAGCCCTGAGGAGTCACTCTGTCCTTCTACATGTAGTAATGATATCATATAGCTCATTTGGGTGTGAGCAGGTTCATTAGTTAATGCTTGATAATGCTGCAAAGTACAAAATGTTTTGTGAGTGCTTGGTATTGTTATTTAAAAAGAAATAAACAGGAAACGTCAGCCAGGTAATGTCATCACTGAGACATTAGATCCCTAAATGACAAGAGCCGCAGAGGCTCGAGTAACAGCATTCTTTGTGGCTAGAAACGTGCAAAACCTGGGCTTTTCCACAACGTCCGCAGGACATCAGCAACGGCATCTTCTGGTACCTCATTCCTCCTTTAGGCACATTAAGCATCTCCTCTGTAACACACCGGCAGCACACTGAGAGCTCCCTATTAAGAATTTTATAGGACAATCAAGCTGATTGTCGAGCTCCTGAATACTTTCCTCTGAGCCGAATGCTTGTATGCTGGAGTCTGAGGGACCACTCTGGCTATCCCCACGGAGACCTTGGGCGTGTGGCACCATCTCAGCTGCTCACGCTTTGTTGCGGCTGCCCCAGAGCGCACCCCTGAAGGCGGAAAACAGAAAGGCTCCTTCAGCCCCTCATACGTTAAACTCCACTTTCAGGATCGCTCTCTGGGGTCGTGTTGACGCAGCTGAGGCCAACCGGGATTCCCCGGGAAGGGCAGCCGGGCCGCGCCTCTGCGGGGCTGGCGCGGGCCCAGGGCCGCTCCCTGCCGCTTCCCCCACGGCGATCAAAGGTCCTTCTCACAGCGCGCTGGAATGTGTTCCTTCAAAGCGCCGACTTGTGCCGACTCTTCAAAGGATTTGGTGGCAGCCTGAGAGCAGGGCAGAACCAGGAAACTGGCTCCGAGGCGCTGGCGAGGGCCTGGGAATGAGAGAGGCACTGGAAAAGGCCATTCCTCACCCAGGACAAGTACCTAGCCCTGTCAGAAGCCCCGAAAATAAGGGTCAGAGGCTCCGTAAAACAGGGTCAGCTAGGCTCTGCCCGCACCCGCGCCCGGTCACTCCGGACTGAACGAAATTCCCGGTGTGCTCCCACATAAACCCCTCCTCGCCTCACAGCCATCGGCTTTCCCACGCCCAAGATGGCTCCGCGATAGCTTCACTCGCCGCTCAAGGCCAGTTCCAGCATGGCGGTGCGCACCTCACCAGCCTTGCCCTTTGTCAAAATGGCGACTGTTGACTTCAGCTCGGGAGGGGTTGCCCGTAAAAGCTGAAGTGTCTTCCCCTCCCTCCGCTTTTCCCTGGAGCAAGATGGCGGCGCGGGAGCTGACGCCCCGCCCCCCGGTGGTGCCAGGCGGTGTGGTCACGTGACGCGCGTTGCCGGGCAGTGCCGAGGCGCTGCAGGAACGGGGCGGGAGCGGAGCTGAGTTGGGATTGGGATTGGGACTGGGACTGGGATGGGGTGCGTGGTTCTGCTGTGGGGTGCGATCCTGCTCAGCTGCAGCTGTGGCCTGGGACCCCCCAGGGTCGGTGCCGCTCCGCTGCTGACGGCCACCTACGTGCTGGACGATGCGGACGGGCTGGGCAGGCAGTTCGACGGGATCGGGGCTGTGAGCGGCGGCGGGGTGAGCGGCGCCCCCGGGGCTGCGGTGCTGGCAGCGCTAGTGCCCTCCTCGGGGCCACAGGGGACAGGGGCTGGATGTTCCGTCCCATGGGAATGTGTGGTGGCTTCGGCGGGGCCTGGGCCGGGTAGGGGGTGGTTCTGGAGGGGAGCCGTGAGGGCTGGGGGATGTGAGGACACACACGCGACGTGATGGGGCTCGGAGGAGGAGGTCTGGAGGGTTGAGGGGAGCGGTGCGGGCAGTGGTCCTGCCTGCGAGGAGAGCTGGAGTCGGGCTCGGCTTCGCCCCAGCCCTCCAGTTTTTTTAGGGTTGGCAGGGGCATTGTGCCGAGGGGCAGCCATGTCCCGAGTGCCAGTAGAGGAGAGCTAAGCCAGGATGGGCTTTTCTGTAGAGGGTCTTCGTAGCTCATCGTCTCTACGTCTTAAAATGCTGGAAGAGCCAACGGCCGGTCGTCGTCTCTCCTGTGGTCCAGTCAGCAGAGCCGTGAAATCCCTGGAGTTTTTACTCACTCATGGACCTGCTGGGATGCTTTGCTTGCCCTCCTGCCTCTGTGCCTCCTGTTGCCTTTGGTATACGGTGAACCGAAGCAGGGAGAAATGATACCGGGAGGGAGCTGCGTTTTTGTGCCATAAGCCTGTGCTGTCTCTGTTTCTCTGTTCTCTGGACTCTCTTTGCAGTGAATTGCAGGTAACCAGAGTACAAGGCAATTGCAGTCTGCGAAACCAGAAATGCACAGTTGAAGGGTTAGAAACGTGTTTGTGTAGGGGCTTAGCTGAGTTCCTGGTGCTATAATTATTTTTGTAGGTTTGTTAGCCATGTGAAAGTCCTAGACTGCAAAACTGGGACATACTTAAGCATTTGAGTTGGGTTTTCATATTTTCATGTTTTCTTTCCATTTTAGGCCACATCTAGACTCCTGGTGAACTACCAAGAACCTTACCGCTCCCAGATTTTAGATTACCTGTTCAGGGTAAAGTTGGTTTCACTGCTACAGTAATGTTTAATTTCATGCAGAATTTGTGATTGTGTAATGTTGGAACTCCAACTATAGTATATTTAATGCTACCTGAAATTAGATAATATCCTATCTTATAAAGAATCTACTTTAATGTCGATTGTTACCAGAACCTTAAATTTTAGCTGTTGTTTTCGACAACCAGGATTTTGTTCAAGAGTCCATTTGTTCAAATTACTATTAAAATTCCTTTCATGTTTTCAAAATATGTTTTAAAAATACATTTTCAAAAATGTATTAAACATACATTGATCATCCATGGGAAATCATCCATGAGAAATCATTTTTATGGCTAAAATGAGGATTTTAGCTGTTCGTAGTGATGACAGTAAGTGGGTCTTTGAGGCAGTTTTGATTTTTTGGAGTACAGATAGATTAACGTAACATGAAAATGACTATGCAGCCTGCATGATTTTAGTAGCTTATCTATTCCAAACTAGTCTCAAGTATAACTGCAGTTACTCTAGAAGGTGTGTAAATGTCATTGGTTTGTAAGCTGCCATAGTTAGCAAGTGTAACCTGTGCAGTTGCTCAACTTATTATAAGGCAAGATTATTGCACTGGACATTAATAGCTTGTTTTGCTTTTGGCACTGTAAGTTACTCTGCTGGAAGAGGATGCCATGTCACTTTCAAGTAATGCAATCCAGATGGCTGGAGGGGAATAATTTACTGTGTAGTTTAAAGAATTAAAGTGTAGACTAAGGCATAATGTGTGACTGAGCAATCAAACCCTATGTTTTTTGGAGACTGAAGCTGTGTGTTACTAATACAAGTTTTCTGAAGGAATCAATAGGCATGTTATAAAAGAAAATCTAGTTGAGAGATTCTGATTTTCAAAGAATTTTTGACATGTTCTTTCACTAAAGCCTCTTCAGCTGTTATACTGTGGAGGGAGTATACCTTTCCTTATTCTCCTTGCCTTTTAATGTCAGTCAACTTTTGTGATGGGGATGGGAGAACAAAAGTATTAGAAGTTTAAAGGGATGGGAGAACAAAAGTATTAGAAGTTTAAAATCAGAAATGTCGGGAAGAGAAACAGTAAATTGGAAAAACGTATTTTATATTTCAAAGCATATAAAAAAATCCAAAACTTGTAAGCCAAACAAGCTACTGTCTATGCAACTTATTTTTTTAATCAAAATGCATTGTGATGTCTTACAACATTCTTTCAGATACCAGAATTATATTTGGGTAATTCCATGGAGGAGTGCAGTGGTTATTAAAATAATGATTAATTGTAACTTCTAGGAGTAACATACTAGAAGTAGGGTCACCTATATGAGCTTGAATTTTATATTTGTCTCCACCAGTCAGATGCCAGGGAGGGGGATAGTGGATTAGGTGGGTTTTCCATTGTGGTGGGTTTTTTCCCTCGCTTGCCTTTCTGCATCTGGTTAGCAGATTATTTCTGACCTGTATGTATGTTCTGTCACATAAGCAGGATAACCCTTTACACCAAAGAATAAATTATTTACAGAGACATTGACTTCAATAATTTGATTTTAAAAGGAAACAAATTTGACTTCTAATAACATTGAAATACTGTTGTGTTCCTCATGTAGCCCGCGTCCTACTTTAAGAGTGGTTCAGTATTTGCTTGAGCATAACCAATTTAAAATCTGCACAGTTGTAGGGGTGTATTGTTAACAGTGCAAGAGTCAATGAAACCTGTTAAAGACCAGTGTACTGTTTACATTGCTTGATTTTCTTTTGAAGCAGAACTCTGTGTATCTCTCATTGCATTTATAATGGGTGTTTAAAAAAAAAAAGTGTTACATTTTTAGCATACTCAATATTGTATCCTTACTTAACACATTCTTCTTAACAGTAGGATTCTCTTTGGTTTTGTCTCTCTTTTTTTCTAGCCTAATTTTGGTGCTTCTTTACACATTCTCAAAGTAGAGATTGGAGGTGATGGGCAGTCAACAGGTATGGATTTTGCGTGAGCAACGTTTAACTTCTTGTTTCAGTGTTGCTGTAAGTAACATGTCCTGCACACATCAGTTTAGCTGAGGCATGGAAATGCAGTCTGTAGTTGTACTGAAGTTGCAAAAAAAAAATGTATCTGCTATCTTGTAACGAGAGATTTATACTAACCTTGTGGAGACAGTTCTCACTATCATATGGTTAATGGGTTGCATTCTAGAGCGAGTTCTTTTTTTTTCCTCCCCCTCTAGTAGCTTTCTGCATTGCAGTGCATTTCTCAAACACCAGTTTTGCAATACTTAGAAGCATGAAAATGCAAAGACAGCTGGTCAGAAGCAATGACATTTCTTTGGTTTAATGAGCTGCTACATTTCACTGGAGTGGCATTGGCTGACAGTCGCTACTATTTTTTTCTCTTTTTTTACCTGAGCAGAATTGCACATGAAAATGTCTTGGTGAAATTTGCCTAGCCGACTACATCAACATATAGGAGAAACTGTTTAGTAACTGCTTGTAATCAGAAGCTGAGAAGCAGTGATGACAGTTCTTATCTTTCTTTTCTTTTCCTTTATTTTATCTTTCCCCGAAGTAATTCTGGCCCCATCAAGAACAGACTTAAACCAGACACAGCTGATAAACAGAAAGTAAAGAATCTGGTTTTGTGACATTATGTATACATTTATTTGTAATGCCTGTGTCTGTAAAATTAGGTACTGTTTTTTGTTCTTTGGTTTACTTTCTTTTACAAAAATTATCATGATGAAAAGTACTATGCTAGATTTAAAAGCTCAGTATTTGTTAATGAGTTGCTGGTGAGAGGAGAAAGGAGTCATCTTCTGGCAGAAGTCGAAATTTGGAATCTAATTATTCTGTGTTACTAAGGTAAAAATATCAATCCTATTTTCTGTAATGAAATGTCCTGTTTAAGCAGACTTCATTAGAAAAAAAGTCTCATTAAAAGAGGTCTCTGCATATATTTTAGCATAAATAATTGGTGCAGTTGTATACACAAGTTATAACTTAACTTTTGTGTATAATGGCTTCCCTTGCAACATTGATTCTTTTGCACCTTTCTAGTTTGTTTACCTTTGCCTGAGGAAAATCAGTATATAGTGTTCAATTCCAAAAACTCTTCCTACAGTCACTGAACACCATAGAAATTATAAACTGCATCTTTTACTGTAGAAATAAAAACTCCCTATTTCCTGTGATTGAAACATCTCATTGTAGTTCCTTTCTTTTTTCTCCCTGGACTTACCTTGCACAAAATAAACAAACTATAACCTTCTTTTGTTTGTTTTTTTGGTTTAGAAATAAGCTGCTTGTTTAATTTTTTTTTAATCACATCTGATGTTAAAAGCAGGCAGAGTCCCTTAAAAATCAAAAATATTAAATTCATGCTAAGTTAATATGCTAAGAACAGAGGGTGGCAAGTCTTGCATTTTCCCTCCCACTCTTCAATTTGCTCTGAAATACATACCAAAGAACTTGTGAACCATGTCAGAGATATGTACTTGCATACTATGGCAGTGAGCAATACAGCAAACTTTGCCATGTGTAACAGCTTATGACACAGAGGATAATTGTGAGCTACCTGCCTCTTTCCTTCCTAGATGGTACTGAACCCTCCCATATGCACTATGAAAATGATGAGAACTACTTCCGGGGCTATGAATGGTGGCTGATGAAAGAAGCTAAAAAGAGGAACCCTGACATTAAACTGATTGGTAAATTGCTTCAAGCTTTAAGATTTAAATGCTTTTTTATTCCTCTGACT